AGGCAACCTACACCGCAAGAAAATGATACCCTTCTTTCACGGGGTGCGGGACTAGGGAGCCCCGATTTCATTTGTTGGTTCAAACAGAAAGCCCAAACTGATGCGCCTATAAGTGATGAGTTAAGACAGGTTGCAAATGGCTGTGCCGTTAGGGTCAAGTCATTTACCGGTTATGACGTGAATGGATATCGTTTTCACACAGCAAGCTACGAGCAGAGTCGGCCCAATCGACAAACCACAAACAGTGGAGTTGTTACGCCCGGCACTGATGGACTCGACTATTATGGAAGAATTGAAGAAATCTACGAAATATCATTTTATGGTTCCAAACCTCTTACTCCAGTCATATTCAAATGCCACTGGTTTCATCCTGGTGTAACGAGACGGAGCCCTAAGCTCGGGCTAGTCGAGATTCGGCGAGATTCCGTCTATCCGAGAAAAAGATGTCTACATTGTGGCTCAACAGTCCGTCTGTGTTTATTATATCGTCATACGCGTGCAAAGACGCCGAGCATCTTAAGGGTTGGTCTATTGTGCACAATGTATCGCCACACGATAAACTACCTGTCCCCAAACGATGAAGATTATAACTTCAACCCAAACACATATGATGGAGAGTTCTATCAAGAAGAGGGGCTACAAGGGAGGTTTGACATAGACTTAACCGAAGAGATAGGAATGGAAGTAGATAATGAAAGGGATGATGACGAGGACGCTGGAGACGAGGTGCGAAATCTGAAGGATATACAAATGCTTGAGCGATTACATTTCGGCAATGACAATGAAGACAACATTCCTTCTTCGGATAGTGTTGATGAGTTGGACAATGTGGATAGTGATGACGAGACCTATGATCCATCTAATTTCAATCATGAAGATTATTTCTAATACATGTAATACTATATTTTTGTAATTATGTTTTGTTCATTTTGCATATATTTCTAATACATGTAATACTATATTTTTTGTAATTATGTTTTGTTTATTTTTGCACCTATTTCTAATTATGTCTTGTTTTTCTTTTTTATTGCGGTGATTGAACAAAGATGGCGGGCGGCACCGTCATAGGTCTGTGAACTCGATTTACCAAAGACAACGCCCGGTCGCAGGAGGGGGGGGCAGAGGGATCGAACAGAGGAGGAGGACCGCTAGCCGCAGAGGAGGGGCGTCTCTTCCCACGCCACGTGAGGAGGACCGCCAGCCGCAGGAGGAGGTGGCGCCCGTGGACGAGTCAGACGAGGAGTTGGTTCGGCAGACGGAGGAGGAGGAGGAGGAGGAGGAGGAGGAGGGGGAGGCGGCAGGCACGGGTTCTGCTTCCTCCAACTCCTCTTCGAGTGTCTACTTGCGAGGTCCCGCGAGTCTCCCACAGGTTCCGCTTCGTCACCAATGCCCACTGATTCGCCCCGAAGGACAAAAGTAAGTAACTGTATATGTTATCACCACTACTTCATATGATATGATGAAAAAAACTAATAATTTTTCTTAATTACTCGTGCAGGAACTGGGTGGTTGTGTCGGGTGGTAGCGCACGGCTAGTCAACGGCATCCTGGGTCTTCTGTGCAGGCAGCACTTCCCCGGCATTGTCACGTACGCATCGAAGACGGAGCCGGCCTACTCGTTTGACCACTACGTCGTCGCCTCCGATGCGGAGTACCCCAACAAGGCGGCGCGGGTGAAGGCAGAGTTTTGGGTAAGTCTCCCTTGCACAACATTGCTCAATACGTCGCATTCATTAGACTTTTCTTGAAATAATGAATCGATACATCGCTTTTGTATGCAGACTTATTACGAGATCACGAGGAGGGATTTGAGGCCGTATGCGGAGCAGCGACTACCAAAGCTCAGAAAAACTCACACCGACATGCATCACGAGGCGCGCATCCAGCCATCGTAACCTACTACGGGTCGAAGCTTGGAGAGAGGAAACCAAGAAAGACGCAAAGAGAGATGCAAATGACCCGGGAGCAAGTACCTTGAGGTAAATGAAGAACATCAACATTGATTCAATTTGAGATTAAGTTGGTTTAATTTGATCTTCTTATATGTCCAATACTTGATGACGTGTAGGTGATTCCTGGTAGTGCCAAGCGTATCCCGAGTGTTGGGCGATGATGATGGTGGGACAGGTGGTTCACGGAGGAGTACCTCAAGATGCACAGGATGCCCGGGACGTCGTTCATCGATGCAAGGTCCAACACACCATCAAGGCAGCCGCAACCTCGCGGATACAAACAAGCATGGAATACGCGAATTGATTTATCTATTGTCACGCTTCGGGCTTCATCGATTTCTAATCATCGTCTTGTCTTTCTCGCATCGGCGTCACATAGTGGCCAGCTTGCTCGGACTTCGTGCATGGTGTATGGCCCACAAAAGGGTAAGGCGACGTCCGACGCCTCCTTCAACTCCGGAGGACCCGCCCGAGGCATACACGAACCCCGAAGCGTCCCACTCTCGCATCGGTGAGTACATCGAGGTGGCGAGGTCGCCCATGGGGCGTACTCACGATCCGAGCACCCAGGACTTCGATGGAGAGGCCGTCATGAGGGCGGGGCAAGGCAAGAAGCATGGACGGTTCTGGCTTGGCGACGGCGTCATCGACACGGCCTCTACTCCCTCTCTCTCCCAGATCCGAGCACGGAGCACGAGCCAGAGCCCGGCCATTCGCACACGGCCGACCGCTGCACAGCACCGGGTCGACGCACTCGAGGTTATTCCTGTTTTACTCGTCATACATTGATCTTTACACACCTTAATTAGCTTTGCATTACTGAAACATTGGAGTGAAATATTGCAGGCCCGGCTAGAACAAGAAATGAAGGAACGTCAGGAGCTGGGGGCCCAGTTGGAGGCCGAGCGGGCCGAGCGGCAGGCCCAGGCGCAGAGGCTGATGGACATTACGGATTTCCTACAAGGGCTTGGGCAACGTATGGGCTTGTCTCTGCCACCTGGGCTGTTGGTTCCACCTCCGCCTCCGCGTCCTGCAGCTGCAGCTACTCCTGTGAGTATCAAAGTTTTTTACTTTCACTTGTGCTTTGCTTGTATGGCCTCTATCGTCCTAGATTAGCTATCAAAATAATTTTGTCTCACATGCAATCTTTTCTCCTTTGTGCAGTCTCCATCTGACGGTGGTTCGAATAATCCACCTCATGCACCTACGAATGATGCACCTGGGCCTTCACCACAGTCGCAGTGGCCGAGATGAGTGCATGTTGTATTTTTTACATTTGTTGTTCACTTGGTGATGGACTTGTGATGCACTTGTGGACTTTGATGAACTTGTAAACTTATTTGGATGGACTTGAGCACTTATTATTACATATTGTGATGGATGTGTTATGGGCGGATGGATGTGTGGATGGATGAGATATATATGTGATGGATGAGATATATATGCGATGGATGAGATATATATGTGATGGATGAGATATATATGTGATGGATGAGATATATATGTGATATATGTTTGTATGAATGTATTTGTCATGATGGAACGCAAAAAAAAAATTATTTGCCGTTTTGGGTCACTTTGCCGAGTGTTGCACTCGGCAAAGGACCCCTTTGTCGCGCAATGGTCAAAACACTCGGCAAAGTCGGGCAAAATGGGCGACCGAAAACAGATTTTCCAGCTTTGCCGAGTGCTATGACTATAACACTCGGCAAAGAAATTTAAAAAAAATTTCAACTTTGCCGAGTGCACGGGTGGTGGCACTTTCGGCAAAGAAAATTTCCAAAAAATAAAAGCTCTTTGCCGAGTGTCTGCTGGGTTGGCCTTTCAAATAATTTTAAAAAAAATATTTGCCGAGTGTGCTCGGAGGCTTGGCACTCGCAAAAAAAAATTTCCAAAAAATAAAAGCTCTTTGCCGAGTGTCTCTGCGGGTTGACGCTTCGGCAAATAATTTTAAAAAAAAAAAATCTTTGCCGAGTGTGCTCGAGGCTTGGCACTCGGCAAAGAAAAAAATTTTCAAAAAAAAAAAAGCTCTTTGCCGAGTGCCTTCCGGGTTGGCGCTCGGCAAAGAATTTTTTAAAAAAGGCTTTGCCGAGTGCATGGAGGTTTGGCACTTTCGGCAAAGAAAATTCTCAAAAAAAAATAGAAGCTCTTTGCCGAAAGTGCCTCACGTGTTGGCACTTTCGGTAAAGAAAGTTTTAAAAAAATTTAAAAAATCTTTGCCGAGTGCGGCAGGTTGACACTCGGCAAAGTGACCGTCAACGGAACCGGCGCCGTGATTTGTCGCTTTTCTTTTACCGAGTGTTTCCGGGGCACTCGGCAAAGCCTTTGCCGAAAGTGCCCGATAAAATACACTCGGCAAAGAGTGCTTTGCCGATCAATTTTTTGCCGTGTGTGCTTTGCCGAGTGCCACACTCGGCAAAGGCTTTGCCGAGTGCAATATAGCCTTTGCCGAGTGCCTCAGGCACTCAGCAAAGAACCTGAATCCAGTAGTGATCCTTTGCAATTAGTTCTGCTCCCATGTAAAGCCCTCCTGACATCAGCGGTGATACAGGTGCCAAAGGGGGACATGATGGCATCCTCAACAATATAGTCAATTTGCTAGCTCATATGAACTTAAAAAACAAAAATAGAGTAAGCTAACATGCTAATATAGAAAAATGTGTAATATATAGACACATGGATCCTAGGAAAGTAGGTGAACTTAACTCTTTATAAAGAGCTAGCCTATCATTCTCTCTGCTTTTTATTGATAAAATATTCTACGAGCTATAGATCTTTTTAATACTGTTGGAGCTACCTAGAGTTTTGAGTGTTTTGGTAACAGTACACCCATTGAAGTTTTATTCAGTTTTAAGTGTTTTAGTAACACAGTACACGCTGGGTTTCATCCAAATGAAACTCATCTCCTCTCTTTCCTCATAATTTCTACGTAACATCGTCATTTTTACAGATGTGTCACCGCATTAAATAGGAAGAAAACTCTCATTGGAACTAGCCTAATAACTAAAACAACGTAGTGCAAGATCGATACAATAACAAAAAAAAAGTTCAAACAGTAGGGCCGTTGAGAAAGAGGGAGACGACGAGATCCTTGAGGTCGGCAGCAAAGGTGTAGGCATCTCTGCCGCCAAGGTATATGACCTCCAGCGTCTTGGTCAGGTTCACCACCAGCTGCGCGGCCGGCAACAGGGCGCTATCCATCTCCATGCACGACCGGTTAATCGTCTTCCACGCGTGCTCCGCCATCCCCGCGATCGCGGTCACCGCCTCCTCCCCTGACGTGCCATGCATGCTCCTTGGCGTAGCATTCCACGGAGCTTTCCACGTCCTTCTTGTTCTTCCCCTTCTTGTACGAAGCGATGTCGTTGAGGAAACGAGCGACCTCTCCACTGGCGGTGACCATGCAGGTCCGGGACGCCGATCGCCCACTGGAACGCCTCCCTGGTCGCCATGTCACCTGCACCCATAAGCAGCACCACGGCTAGTGTTGGGAAGCCTGACGACATGACAGACACCTCCATGTGCTCTTTGAAGCTCGGCGCGTATTTCTCACTGCACCATTTGGCCTCGTCCAGATAGTATACTTTGATGACAGTTTAAACTGCGAGAAATTAATTAAACAAATTAATATTACTAGTGCTTCGTACCAACGTACATATGAACAAAACAAAGTACACCATACGTTTAAATATACACACTTTAATTGATCGATGTATAATAACTTTTCTTACCGCTTGCTTTGCATAGGATACGCGGTACTTCTCATTTGGCTGCAAACTATGCTCAAACTCTTGAAAGTTCCTCACAAGATTGATGTAGAACATTTTCATGTACTCTGGAAGAATGGAAGCAGTGGTTTCATCCCATCTGCACGCAGACAAGACACACGTAATGAGATATATAGAACCTAATCAGGTCATGCATAAACATCCAGCTTGAGTTGATGTGCTGTTATATATAGTACTCCTTCCATTTCAAATTATACATAATATATGTTTTAACTTTTCTAGATACATAGATTTTGCTATGTACATGGATATACATTACTACGTCTAGATACATGGTTAAAGCCACAGAAATGCCAAAACGTCTTATAATTTAGAGCTGAGGGAGTATATACATATGTACCTCTGTATAGCATCGTTGAGTATATGGCATTCCTCTAATGTAGCATACACATCGTACGTGTCATCCATCAAGGACAGCAACCCGAATGTCTTGGCAAACAGCATTCGCGCACGAGAGTATTCCTCCTCATGGAACACCACACACGTCTCCAGCCGCTTTGGCAGGCGTGCGAGTGGGATGTCGAGGGCACGGGACACTTGCTCTTCCAGTGGCGACGGGAGCCTGCCATTCATGGACGCAAGGTGACGCCTGGAGAAGGAGATGGCTTCGTCGAGGGCCTGCTCGCCAGGTGTTGCCATGTGAGCCGCGTTGTATAGGCTCAGTAAGCCCCTCGGATCACTGGCCAGACTTTCACTGAAACTGCCCGTCCTTTCATCTCTGAATCTGTCGAATACATCTGTCAAGGTAGCGTACTTGTGTGTTATATACGCTTGCTGCATAGGCATGGAACGAACGAGAATCTGTAGACGACACATTTATACGTATTATTACGACGACGTATACCTGCAGGAACCCAGACGCCATGTTGCCTAAGTAGACGAAAGCGAAGAGCAACGATCTGGAGGCCGTCGTCCAAACTCTCGCAGCTGTTGATGCGTTTTAACGCGGCGTCAACCTCCTGGCAGAAGTGGTTGTCGATGCCGAGGCGTTGGAGCGTGTCCACTAGCGGCACCATGTCAGCCACGCTCCTCGTAGCCTCGCCGCCAGCGTCGAACATCCGGCGGCGCACTTCTCCCTTGAGCTGGTGCGCCCTCCCTCTCATCCGCTCCTCCGACTCCTGTGTGTATTAAGCCCAGTGCGCGCGCGCGCGCGCGCGCACACACACACACACATATATATATATATATATATATATATATATATATATATATATATATATATATATATATATATATATATATATATATATATATATATATATATATATATATATATACACACACACACATACGTACTTGTGAGACGGGTGGGGCGTAGGTGACGAAGAAGTCGCCCCACGCACAGGGCTCGATGGCGCCGGCGGTGGCAACCGTCAGCCCAGCGCCGGTCTCCTCCAGGCTCGCAGGAGGAGCTGCAGCAACAGTGTTCGGAGCCATACCACTGATTTCGTGAGCGAAACCGTGTGTGTCGTGCAGCAAGTTCGTCGATCAGCAGCTGGCTCGCTCGCTGCTTGCACTTGCATGCACTGCTTACTCTACTCTCTCTATTGCTATCTATATTTATACAGAGCGATCGAGCAACAACACATGAGTGGGGACGATGCTTACTAATAATAGAGGTATGGCGATATGGCTTTGCTGACGACGACTTAATTATAACCTAACCTGCATGAATCAGGAATGAATCCAAGCAACTGGTAAAATAAAAACCTCGTGTGGTTCACGTGTGCTTACAGTATTCTATAAGTCCTGTATGGGTGCATTGCGCCCCCATTCCAAAGGAATTTCTGCACGAGCTCAAAGCTTATATGATAACTGATTTATAGATTAAGAAGTACATAACGCGGGTCTCTCTCTCTCTCTCTCTCGATCTAGTCTTTCCTAAAAGTTTCTTAGACCAGTTTCCCACCACGTTCCACAAATTCTCACACCAACCATATCGACACTATACTTAATCTCTCACTTCATTTGTCATCCGGGCATGTACGATTCATGTTTATAATCAGGCATTATATTCGGATCCTGTGTGCACGCGCGTGTTTTCTCTCCTCTGGTGCAAAGAGGTCTTCTCAGCATCGTCTCCAAACCCTCGAGAAACCTCACTAATAAGAGCTCCAAGCTATCGCTGCTATCGTGGGCAACTTGTAGTCATTGCCTAGAGGCCTCTCCTTTATCTCCAATGAAACCGCCAGAGGGAAAGAAGGAGAGGAGCCCATCCCTCATTTATAGTCGAGTCGTTCCTTTAGGTTTAGTTTCACTATTATAGATATATCATTCTTTGTCAGTCTGAAACCCCATCACCGTCGATTTTGCTCGGCTGTGGACTATGGTGAAAGTGGACAGTGAAAATGGATATAATCACTGACAATTTGCAAATCAGCGGTGAAAAGCAAATAAAAAATTTTAAAAACCTCGCGCCGCCACATTTGACATCCTCGTCCTCGTCCTCACCAGCTTGTGGCAATCCTTGCCCTACAAGAGTGAACGACTGTGTGACAATTTCCACAAATCCTCATCTGCACCATCCTCATCCTCGTCCCTAGCCCACGCGGTGCTATATCCTTGTCCTGGTTGCCCAGTGTCTGTCATGCAGATGAAGAAGGCGGCGAGCCCTTGATGCCACCACACCGGAGAGGAGGTCCCCCCCTTCTTTAGATCCGCCCGAAAGAGGGGCAGGGAGTGGGCTCCCGTCGTCAGCTAATTGTCGCGATGCGCGCCTACATCGGTGAGAGAGGGGTCGGGAGGGAGGGAGGGAGAGGGGCCCGAGAGGAAGAGAGAGTGGTGGCCGGGAGGGAGTGCCAGTGACCAAGAGAGAGGGATAGGGTTTGGTGTCTGCTTATATATTTTCTTCGTTTTTTATCGTCAGATTGTGTCTTGAACCGACAGCGAAAACTAGTCTGGTTTTCATTGTCATTCCAGGATACAACCTGACCGTGAAAAAGATTATCACTACCGACTCCATTAGGTCAAAGTGAAAATAATTTTCACCGGTCGATTCATTACAAACCTGCGGTAATAATGTTCGTCGATCAGCAGCTGGCTCGCTGCTTGCACTTGCATACACTGCTTACTCTACTCCGTATTGCTATCGATATTTATACAGAGCGATCGAGCAACAACACATGAGTGGGGACGATACTTATACGTATAATAGGTATGGCGATGGCTTTTCCTGACGGCGAATTAATTATAACCTAGACCTGCATGAATCAGGAAAGAATCCAAGCAAATGTAAAATAAAAAACCTCGTGGTTCACGTGTGTGCTTACAGTATTCTATAAGTCGTATCGGTGCATTGCGCACGAGCTCAAAGCCCCATCACTGTTGGCTGCAGTAAAAGTGGGCATTGAAAATGGATATAATCACTGACAATTTGCAAACCAGCCGGTGAAAAGCAAATAAAAATTTAGAAAACCTCACGCCGCCACAATCGACATCCTCGTCTCCGCCCTCGCCCGCGCGATCCTCGTCCTCGTCCTCACCCACGCGGTGGCTATCCTTGCCCTACAAGAGTGAACCCACTGTATGGAAAAAATAGAGTTTATTTAAAAAAAAAACAGCTGCCCTGTACCGGTCACAAGAGTGTACGCACCATATGCAAATGAAGTTAAAAAAAACAGCTGCTAAGATCCGTGGATGAAACGGCGCCAGTATATTATACTACCACGTTGGCACGAGGACACAACCCACCACAGAGCATGGGTACCGCACCATGCGGTCATCAGTTTGCTCGAAGCTTTTCACACCTTGGGCCTTGTTTAGATAGCCTCAAAATTTCAAGTTTTTTCACTCTCTCTCCATCACATCAATTTTTAGCCGTTTGTATGGAGCATTAAATGTAGGTAAAAAAAATAACTAATTGCACAGTTTAGTTGGAAATCACGAGATGAATCTTTTGAGCTTAGTTAGTCTACGATTGGACAATATTTACCAAATAAGACGAAAGTGCTACTATTCATCGGGTTGAAATTTTTTTCAATCTAAACAGGGCCTTGCTAGCTCATTTTGGGCCCGCCCTGGTCGACGACTCGGAAAGGTTGTCGAACGGCACGCGGCAGGACACGTGTTTTTCGTGTCGGCATGATTTGGACAGCCCCTTGGGCCTCATCCCCCCGCCCCTTCCTCCCTACCGCGCCCACCTCGCCACAGATGCTGCGCCCATGCGGCCATGCCGGCCTCGCTCACAGGGCTACATGTACAGCGGTTCCTGCACGAGCCGCTCTCGCGTGGCCGCGCCGGTTTCTCCCTGTCTCCTTCAGCGGGCACACTCACGCCTGCACGGGCCGCGACCACGTTGGCATCGCCCACGCCCTGCAAGGCTGCTGCAACGTGCTAGGACTTTTTCTTTTCTTTTGCCTTAGATTAGAGACTAAAACAGAAACTAAAATGGTGCTTATTTCCAGAGACTAAAGGAGAGGAGAGAGACTGTGAGAAAGAAGAGACAGAGGGATGGATATGGGCTGTTTAGTTCCAATTAACAGCCTCCCAAGGGACTACTACATTTTACCCCGTTCGGCTTGCTAAAACTTGGCTGAATTGACTGAAAAATACTATTCTGGTTGAATTATTGTGAGAGATAAATATTGTTCCGGCTGAAAAAACAAGCTGAATAGTACGGATTATAAGGTAAACCGAAGGGGGCCTTTAATCCCAAGTCCCTGTTTTAGTCCCTAGTGTTTGGTTCAAAGGGAATAATTAGGACTAAAATTTAGTCTTTAGTCCCTTCTCCGATGAAAAAGAACATGCCCCTAATCAGCAAACGATCACGGGTTTTAAATGCAAACCATCCGATCTGACAGGGAACTAGTCGTTTCCATTTTTAGCATTACTGGTCCCTGTTCTTTCCTATTTTTTGTGCCCTGATCCGTGCAAGAACCCTACCGAGGTATAGCTTCCATGACTGACCTTGACGAGGAACCTTCTTCCTCGGTGGACATTCCTCTCCCTTTGATCGCAGTTCATCATGAACAAGTTACCAATGTCAAGCGTCCACTTGTCTACCACTGTCCTCCCGCATGTTGGCTTGCTGTTGTATTTGGCCTGGTGATGAAATGAATCTCTTCCAGCGTAACGACATGTTAGATCGCCAGTGTTTGGAAATGGGCAGAAGACCGAGGCAGGGGCAGGGTTTCGAGTGGAGGTGCGTTTGGCAGTGGAACAATGCCATGTTCCTTCTTTTTGCATGATTAATCAGTACATGTTGTAAGTTGCTTCCACTGGAACATATCAGTGAGGTTCAATTGTGAACTGAGAGTCTGAACCTGAACATGCTATTCTTTGTCTGTAGCATCCCTGGATAAAATTTATACTAATACTACTCCTGGTCCAAAATCCAAACGAGGGATACACTTTGCTCTTCTGGCTAGGCTTATGTCCTGTAGGCGTATTCCACTATTAATTACTACTTTTCTTCTTCGATTTGATAAACCTGGTCAGGTATCCAGTAATAAGCAACAAAGGGGGCTTTGTATAGAATTTTTGTGTCTAGATCTTTACGAATAAGTGAGAATGGCTTGTTAAGTTTATCTTGACGATGGTATTTTTGCATATTTGGATAGGCCACTGGTTTCGCAGCAAATAACTTTCACCATCTTAAATATTCCATCTATTTCACTCTTAGTATTTCATTCATAACTCCCAGTTATGTCTAAAAAAGTCATGTAGCAGATAATGAAGGTTGCCTCCTCCCCTGACGTGCCATGCTCCTTGGCGTAGCATTCCACGGAGCTTGCCAAGTCCTTCTTGTTCTTCCCCTTCTTGTACGAAGCGATGTCGTTGAGGAAACGAGCGACCTCTCCACTGGCGGTGACCACGTCCGGGACGCCGATCGCCCACTGGAACGCCTCCCTGGTCGCCATGTCACCTGCACCCATAAGCAGCACCACGGCTAGTGTTGGGAAGCCTGACGACATGACAGACACCTCCATGTGCTCTTTGAAGCTCGGCGCGTATTTCTCACTGCACCATTTGGCCTCGTCCAGATAGTACTTTGATGACAGTTTAAACTGCGAGAAATTAATTAAACAAATTAATATTCATGTATCACTAGTGCTTCGTACCAACGTACATATGAACAAAACAAAGTATACACCATACGTTTAAATATACACTTTAATTGATCGATGTATAATAACTTTTCTTACCGCTTGCTTTGCATAGGATACGCGGTACTTCTCATTTGGCTGCAAACTATGCTCAAACTCTTGAAAGTTCCTCACAAGATTGATGTAGAACATTTTCATGTACTCTGGAAGAATGGAAGCAGTGGTTTCATCCCATCTGCGCGCAGACAAGACACACGTAATGAGATATATAGAACCTAATCAGGTCATGCATAAACCTCCAGCTTGAGTTGATGTGCTGTTATATATAGTACTCCCTCCATTTCAAATTATACATAATATATGTTTTAACTTTTCTAGATACATAGATTTTGCTATGTACCTGGATATACATTATTATGTCTAGATACATGGTTAAAGCAACAGAAATGCCAAAACGTCTTATAATTTAGAGCAGGGGGAGTATATACATATGTACCTCTGTATAGCATCGTTGAGTATATGGCATTCCTCTAATGTAGCATACACATCGTACGTGTCATCCATCAAGGACAGCAACCCGAATGTCTTGGCAAACAGCATTCGCGCACGAGAGTATTCTTCCTCATGGAACACCCCACACGTCCAGAAGTAGTTCTCCACTAGCCGGTCTCGGGCGTACGTAGTTTAGTTTCACATTGCCACAGAGATCCTTCCACCACCTGCAAAAATTGAATCAAAGGTCAATTGACTGACTGATCATCAACATAAATAATTAGGCAGGATTATATAATAGGAAACGTAGTCAACACTTACAATGACAGGTCCTTTAGCTCCCTGAGGTGAAGAAACCCGAGCAAGTCAAAGTCCAGCCTCGCGAGCTCCAAGAGCACGGCGTCGTGCCCCTCTTCTTTGCCATACTCTACGACGTAGTGCATCGTCTCCAGCCGCTTTGGCAGGCGTGCGAGAGGGATGTCGAGGGCACGGGACACTTGCTCTTCCAGTGGCGACGGGAGCCTGCCTTTCATGGACGCAAGGTGACGCCTGGAGAAGGAGATGGCTTCGTCGAGGGCCTGCTCGCCAGGTGTTGCCATGTGAGCCGCGTTGTATAGGCTCAGAAAGCCCCTCGGATCACTGGCCAGACTTTCAATGAAACTGCCGGTCCTTTCATCTCTGAATCTGTCGAATACATCTGTCAAGGTAGCGTACTTGTGTGTTATATACGCTTGCTGCATATATAGGCATGGAACGAACGAGAATCTGTAGACGACACATTTATACGTATTATTACGACGACGCGCGTGAATGCCGGCAGGACATCATCGCCGCTGGCGCGGATACCTCAGCGGTCGCCACCGAGTGGGCTCTCTCGGAGCTTCTAAGGAATCCCGAGGCCATGGCCAAGGCCACGGGCGAGCTGGACCGTGTCGTCGGCGGTGGCAGGCTGGTCACGGAGGAGGAAATCCCGCGCCTCCCGTACCTGGATGCTGTGGTGAAGGAGGCCTTGCGCGTGCACCCGGTCGCGCCGCTGCTCGCGCCCCGGCTGTCCCGCGAGGACACCTCCGTGGGCGGCTACGATATCCCGGCCGGCACCCGCGTGTTCGTTAACGTCTGGGCCGTTGCCCGCGACCCTGCTCTGTGGGGGGACGCCTCGGAGGAGTTCCGGCCGGAGCGCTTCGTCGGGAGCGGAGTGGACGTGAAGGGCCACGACTTGGAGTTCCTGCCGCTTGGGTCCGGCCGCCGGATGTGCCCGGGCCTCGGCCTCGGGATGAAGATGGTGCAGCTGATGCTAGCAAACCTTCTTCAAGCCTTTGCATGGAGGCTCCCCGACGGCGTGGGTGTGGACGACCTGAGCATGGAGGAGAAATTCGGGCTGTCCATGCCGCGAATGGTCCCGCTTGAGGCCGTACCTGAGCCCAAGCTCCCTGCTCACTTGTACGATGGGCCATGTCCATGACTCAGCCACGCACATATGCACGCTTGTCTGCCCGCTGCAATCTGCATCTGCTCTGGAAGTATGATGTCGACTACTCGACTGTATGTTTTTGTGCTCCTAAAAATCTGTAAGTCTCGTTGGCTGTGATAGCCTGCATAAGGGTCTAGCATTAATGGATATCCAATTTAGCATAGCCTTATACTTTTCGAGTAGTATTTGGTTGTCTTGCATTTTGATTTTGCACCGTGGCCATTTATAAATGGGAAGGCCTAGCGCCCAGACGTTCGGCCCAGGCACGCGTTCGGACGCCTGCAACCGCCTAGCATCGGACACACCCCTGCGCTTGCATCAGATCCCCTGCCAGCGACGAAATCGCATCCGGCTACCCACGACCGATCCCACGCCAGTGACCGCTTTCGACCATCCGTGACTTGATCCCTATCCCGGTTGCACCCCCGCCGTCCGTAACACAATCCCCATCCCGGTTGCGCCCCCGGCGTCAAGCCCGCCGCGCTCCTTCCCCCGCCACACCGCGCTCCTCCCCTCGATGCGGCGCCATCGCCGCCGTGCCCCCGTCCTCCACCGCGCTCTGTCTCGGCCGTTCCCCTTCCCTAGTCCTATTGTACCATCTCCTTTGCAACATCCGTCCGACCATTACAACATATGCAGTGTACTATCGAAACATACTTGTATAATCATTACAACATCTAGACGAAACACATGAGACATGCGTTTGAAACATTTGGAACATACATTTGCAACATACATCTAAAACAGATGAAACATGTGGGACATACACTTGAAATATACGTGTGTAGTCATTGCAACATATGCAACATTAGATCCTTTAGCAACATCACATGAAACACATTAAACATACAGATGAAACGCGTGAAACATACGTCTCAAACAACTGAAATGTTTGAAACATATACTTGCAACATACGTATGTAGCCATTGCAACATACAGATGAAACACTTGAAAATAACTTCTGAAACACAGTTGAAACAAACACATGGCGCCGCCGGCAGCCATGGCCAACCTGGTGGGGAACTGCGGTAGCCAGTAAATGGCGCTCGGGTGCAGTGGAGAGGGAGGATGGCGGCAGGCAAGCTGCTGGGTGTGGTGAACAACGCCACGTTGGAGCAGTCAAGCAGTCTCTGTGGACCATGCCGTGTCGGCTCGTAGAACTCGGCGGCGAGTGGTGAGTGGCAGTGGGGAGACAGGAAAGCAGGCGGCGGTAGCGCGGTCGCGGTGGAGCAAGCCGCGGCGATGCGGGCATGGAGACTTGGTTCGAGAATGGATGGGGAAACAACGGCAATTCGAGAAGAAGGTGCGAGCGGTGATTTTTTATTTTTATTTCCGTGCGGATGGTAGTGTTGCCTGTTGGGCCGTTCTAGCGTCGAGGCCCACCAACGCGTGTCCGGACGAAACGGACTTCCTAGCCACAGCATTATCGTTTATAAATATATATAACTATATTTATATCCGATTATTAAAGTACAAATCAGAATGTATTCGTTGTCGTTCACTCTCTTATACCTGTACTATAACACCTCATGTGTTAAGTATGTGTTAAACGTGATCATTAAGCACTACACTAAACAGGTTGCCAGACCATCACTATGGGGTATGTTGCCTTTTACCGTTGGTTCATAAGCCCATATGATTCAGAAAATTCCAGAGAAGTTATTCACCCAGCACCCGGTAGTGAAGGCTATCACTATCGAATCAAGACACAAACCAGAAGTAATAAGTGTGATATCACTATCGGCTAAGGTTATCATTATCAGTTCATGGCTTGACCCAGCAGTGATATGAAATTACCACTGCCGAGTTTTGAGAGCTTAAGGCTTATAGTTTCCCTGTCTAAGCAGTGCAGAGAATCAGACCTCTGATGTGTTAATCTTTCTTATGTAAGAACTAGATCTTGTTGGTGGAGGAATAAAGCAACCATTCCTCGTATATCTGAGTTCTTGCTTTGTGTTCTGGAATCGTTAAGGTTTTTCCTCTCCCGAACCCCCTTCTCTTGCGTTTTGGGTGATTTCGTTTTTCTAGAGATTTGAGACCGATTGGGTGGCTAGAGAACATATCTACCAACCCATTTGGTCAGATTCCTCACGAGCACAATTTGGCGGGATTTTTTAGCAAAGTTGAGAAAACCCCAGCTCGGTTCATGGATTTCTAGATCCTCAGAGTTCCCTTGATCTTTTGGGCTTGATCTTCTAGGAATATCTTCTTGACATCTTCTTCTACCTCTGTACCAAATTTGGAGTCAATCAGACTTGATTTGGGTCGATTTCCACTTTTGGGAGGAATATTTCGGCTGTTGGCAGCAAAGCCGGCCAGGCCAGTGTTCTATAATTGATAATAATTCTCTGGTCATCACCGAGAACATTCAAACACCAGTTGGCTCGAGGGCATCACTCTTGTGTGATTTCATGTTTTGGAGTGTTGTTTGGGACAACGACCATTTCGGAAGAAATTTTGATTGGCTCTCATTCAAACCAGCACCCCCCACCCCATCCCTCCTCTGGTCGTCTTTCTCGGTCCTTCAACAAGTCATGATTTGTAAATGTCTACAAGTTGCAACAAGCATGGTTTGTCCATAGGTTATACATTCAACACAAGTTGATGGTCAAATAAAACATTTCAAAAATATATTAAAATGGGTCTTGTTTTGTAGATCTCATTTCAAGTAAAACAATTACTCAAATGAATTTGAAGATATATTCTGTATGTGAGAATTATTATCAATTATAGAAATACATCAAGTTTTAATAAATTGGCATCAGCTGCAAGGCGTGTGTTTTATCCTTTGCAATTAGTTCTGCTCCCATGTAAAGCCCTCCTGACATCAGCGGTGATACAGGTGCCAAAGGGGACATGATGGCATCCTCAACAATATAGTCAATTTGCTAGCTCATATGAACTTAAAAAACAAAAATAGAGTAAGCTAACATGCTAATATAGAAAAATGTGTAAATATAGACACATGGATCGTAGGAAAGTATGTGAACTTAACTCTTTACGAAGAGCTAGCTTATCATTCTCTCTGCTTTTTATTGATAAAATATTCTACGAGCTATAGATCTTTTTAATACTGTTGGAGCTACCTAGAGTTTTGAGTGTTTTGGTAACAGTACACCCATTGAAGTTTTATTCAGTTTTAAGTGTTCCAGTAACACAGTACGCGCTGGGTCACGGGACAGGCGTGCGAGTGGGATGTCGAGGGCACGGGACACTTGCTCTTCCAGTGGCGACGGGAGCCTGCCTTTCATGGACGCAAGGTGCCGCCTGGAGAAGGAGATGGCTTCGTCGAGGGCCTGCTCGCCAGGTGTTGCCTTGTGAGCCGCGTTGTATAGGCTCAGTAAGCCCCTCGGATCACTGGCCAGACTTTCACTGAAACTGCCCGTCCTTTCATCTCTGAATCTGTCGAATACATCTGTCAAGGTAGCGTACTTGTGTGTTATATACGCTTGCTGCATAGGCATGGAACGAACGAGAATCTGTAGACGACACATTTATACGTATTATTACGACGACGTATACCTGCAGGGACCCAGACGCCATGTTGCCTAAGTAGACGACATATATATATATATATATATATATATATATATATATATATATATATATATATATATATATATATATATATATATATATATATATATATATATATATATATATATATATATATATATATATATATATATATCCGCGCGCGCGCATATATATATATATATAGACACACACACATACGTACTTGTGAGACGGGTGGGGCGTAGGTGACGAAGAAGTCGCCCCACGCACAGGGCTCGATGGCGCCGGCGGTGGCAACCGTCAGCCCAGCGCCGGTCTCCTCCAGGCTCGCAGGAGGAGCTGCAGCAACAGTGTTCGGAGCCATACCACTGATTTCGTGAGCGAAACCGTGTGTGTCGTGCAGCAAGTTCGTCGATCAGCAGCTGGCTCGCTCGCTGCTTGCACTTGCATGCACTGCTTACTCTACTCTCTCTATTGCTATCTATATTTATACAGAGCGATCGAGCAACAACACATGAGTGGGGACGATGCTTACTAATAATAGAGGTATGGCGATATGGCTTTGCTGACGACGACTTAATTATAACCTAACCTGCATGAATCAGGAATGA